AGCTAACATTCATGCCCATCTTCCTCTACTTTATACATGGGATACCTACCACAGCATGGCTTGCCAAGCAGTGCCATGTCCGCAGTTGGGATCCAAACCAGCGAACGCTGGGCCACCAAAGCAGAACATTCCCACTTAACCGCGGTGCCACCGGGCCGGCCCCAAAGTATTTCTTAATAAAGTCAATTTTAGGACCAGCCCCAGTGGCCTAGTGGTTAAGTTCATCTCACTCCATTTTGGTGGCCCAGGTTCAGTTCGTGGGTGTGGACCCACTGCTCTGTTAGCAGCCATGCTGTGCGGCTGGCCCACATACTAAAAAAAATAAGAGGAAGACAGGCACATATGGTAGCTCAAGGCAAATCTTCCCCAGCAAAAAGAAAGAATAATAATAAAGCTGATTTTAAACAAAATTTCCAGCCTCTGAATAAAGTCAAGGTAATATAAAGGTTAATAACTTGAGCTCTGATTCAGAATCTCTGGATATAAACACTGATAGGATCATCATTAACTGTATGAACTGAGACAAGTTACATGACCTCTCTGACCCTCATTTCCTCATCTATAAAATGGGAATTATAAAAGTATCTGTATCAAAGTTGTTGTGAAGACTGAATAAGTAATGCTAAACTCTTAGAACAATGCCTGGCAAAAAATAACAGCTTATATTGGAGCACATATTATTATGAGTATGTGTGCCAAACCCATTGTTAATACAGCATATTCAATCTTCACTTTAGAGTGAACTTGTCATTTATGAACTTTGAGTTTCAAGTATCTAAAAAAGCCCCCAAAATAATTATAATTTTTACTAAAGCCAGCCCCAGCAGTCTAGTGGTTAAGATTCAGCACTCTCACTGCTGCAGCACAAGTTTGTTTTGCGATCAGGGAATCACACCACCCAGTCTGTTAACTGTCATACTGTGGTGGCTGCATGTTGCTGTGATGCTGAAAGATATGCCACTAGTATTTCAAATACCAGCAGGGTCACCTATGGTGGGCAGGTTTCAGTGGAGCTTCCAGACTCAGACAGACTAGGAAGAAGACCTGGTCATACACTTCCAAAAAAACTGGCCATGAAAACCCTATGAATAGCAGCGAAGCATTGTCTGACACAGTGCCAGAAGGTGAGACCAGGCAGGGTTCCACTCTGTGGTACACAGGGTCGCTAGGAGTCAGAATCGATTCAAGAGCACTAACAACAAAATTTTTACTAAACCCACTTTGCCTCATTATCTCTACTTGAGCCAAATGTCAATCCTTGAACTAATACTCAGGCCAGAGAATTCCAATGCACTAGATTACCTGGGCCTGTATCATGTGTTCCAGCTCTGAATGTGGGGAAGAAGAATATCCACCCTAAACCACACAGACTAGGAAGAGAGAAGGGTGGATTCCTAAAGGTAATGCCAGAAATACAATGAACAGAAATCAGACCACCTATTAGAAACAGAGACAAAATCAGTTCATGAAACTTAATTATAAAAAAACAAAAGGACAATTAACTTATATATGAGGATATGAAGAGAAAATATGTTACTCTCAATGAAAATATTATTTGAGATGGTAGGGACCTATACAAATAGAAGCTGGTACATATAAATATATATATATATATAAATACATATATATATATATATATATATATATATATATGAAGAAAGACAGAGGGCAAAGAACAAGCAAGGTGGAGGGCAAAGATGAGGAGACATCACATGTAAAACAAATCAAGAATTTAAGAAGCATTTTATTTTGTATAATACAAATTTTAACAGGAAAGAGAAGACTAATTCCACTGTCAAAGCCTTTCCTCCCAAGCTACAGAAGCTTTGAGGAAAAGAGTTGCAGGCTAAAATAATTATTTAAAACAGAAAGAAATCACCATCAAGAACAACATACATATGCAAGGAGAAAAAGTGAGCAACAAGGTTCAAGGTTGTAAGTTACTTTAATCAATAACAATTCTTAGATGGAATATGATCAACTAAGTAATGCTGGTTTATTACCAGAAAAGGTCTGTAAAAGGAAAAGGTAGTTGGAAAAGCTAACACAGAGGCAGTAGTGATGTGGTAGAATAAATGAAAGAAGTCATCCTCCAAATACAGGCTAGACTCATAGTTTAGTTAAATGGATCATGTAAGAAAAATCTGAAAAACCAAAGTAACAAAGACTTCCTCTGAATGTCAAAGATTTATCCAATTTCAAGCTAAATACTACTCCTCCTGTACTATAGATTCCCTATCCATAAAACTGTTAGAATTACCTACAACTTGCCAATACTTTCAATCCTTTGTATGAAAGAAATATTAAAGGGAAACTACAAATCCCTAAAATGTCAATCGATTCTGCAATTAAATATAAACTTACTTTCAAATACGATATAAGTCAAGAGAAGCCAATGTGTGTGACTGAAAGTTAGGAATCTGACTTTAAGTCAACTGTTCTCAAAGAGGAGAAGAGGACGACACATCCTTATCACCAGGGGAGCTTTCGCAAACTACACTGCCCCCTCCAGCCTCCAAGTCTGATCTGTCCTCTTGGGAACCTGGGTAGGCAGACAGGCAGGGGGAGGGAGTGGTTAGGGATAACACATCTCACGTAATTATGAAACTGCTGTGCCCCTCAAATCTACCACATTTAAGAACCACTAGGCTAAATACATGTACTTGAACTTACAGATCTGAAATTTTCGAATTCCATACAAAGAGAGAACTAAGTTGAGAACTGGAGATCTTGAGTTCTCATTTTGCCACTTAACTATGCAATCTGAAACAGAATTATTTAACTTCTCTCTACCTTAATGGGAATACAATTATATTAGTACTATATGAAAAGTGAAGTTCTATACAACCTCACACAGAATTACTCTAAGGATAAAATAAAATGTGAAGTATAAACATATCTTTAAAATGTGATGAATAAGGCCATTATCATTATTCAAACTTCAGCCTCATTTAGATGTAAACACACAGAGTAATTTGGATTGGTTCACAGTTTGACCTTGAAGCATACAAGACCAGACCAACCACCCAGAGCCAATTAGAAATAAAAAGGATCCCTTGGGCCTTGCCTAATCCACATCTTCCTACCCCAAAACTTGGCCAAATCAAATCCAGCTTGAGAGTCGGGAAAATAGATACCTACTCATGAATTCTTCTGAATGTTCAACCTAACCAGAAAAAGAAATAATGGTCTAAGAAGACTCTTAAAAAAGTGAAATATTCAGAATTTTTAACTGAAGACTCTCATTGGACAGTTCCACATTAGAATATAAAGGAAAACAAAATAATCTAAACAACATGATTAGGACTCAGAAACTAGATTGAAATTTTTTAAAATTAGGTGACAAACAAATAAAAATTTTAATAATCTTACCCTTAAAAAAAAAATGTGTCAGCTGCTTATACTTCAATGTCCCTCTCCAATTCCCTATAGTATGGCCTACAGTAAACACGACAAAACTCATGTGATGCCTGGCAGACAGTGAGCATCAAATAAATATCTGTTGAACGAATGACTGATTCCCTTATTTCTTACATCTTTCACACTATTTTACTTTACCTAGATGGATGCTGGCATATTTATTTTCTTTTAGCCCACTAAAAATTGAAAAGCAAACGGCGGCTAAAATGACAAATTCTTCAAACCCTCACTGTTTCATTAGCTTCTACTTTACCATAAGGTACTCTCTACTGAACATGAGCACAAAACCTCTTAGACCCAACCAAAAGCTGCTTAAATTATTTACAAACAACAATCACCATTATAATGCAGTTTCACTAAAAAATGAATTAATTTTGAATCCAAAATAATTTAAGATAAAAGTAAAAATATAAACAAAGACATTTTTACAGCAAGAACCAGACACTCTAAGTCTAATGAATAACCTTCCTATAGCTCCAACTTCTGGCCCTATCATAGTTAATGACACCAACTCCGATCTTCAACCCTGAAGTGAATCAACTTCCCCTATGACAGTGCAAGCCAACTTCCTACATCACTAATATTCTAAGTCTATCAACAATTTCCTCCAGAGGAAAAGCACAAAACCCTACCAGTTCTCACTCAGCTAAAAGCAATTCCTTTCTCAGAATTCTACTACTTGGACTGGGTTTTGGATACAAAACACAATGAGAATCCGCAAACACTCTCAGCAGACAATCAACTCCGTCTTTCACATACTACGGATAACCCCTCCACACCAAATATCATCACTGAATATTAGTGTGTGTCATTCAAGATGCCAAATATGATGACAAAATGCCTAATACCTAGTTTCTCAGAAGTTCCAGTATACGCTCATGTGTCATACAAGTGTAGTAGCTACAGCCGACACATGGATAATAACAAATGTGGTTCCCTCTTTCAAGACATCCACTTGAGAAGTGGAATTTTTTGTGAACAGATTTTCTTGACTGCAGTAGCCTCAGCAGCAGTCTTCAAAGTGGCCCACCCTTTGAAGTGGGAGGAGGTATTTATACATACACACGACGGCTACTTACATTAAATACTACTTCTCCTTAAAACACCTATACCCATGCTTAGAGCACCAGCTACCATACTTTCAAGAAGCAAATTCTGACCGACCACTCCGTCGCTCAACATCCCAGGAAGCTTAATTCTCTCCCTTTACAAGTTTAATTCACTTCAACAAGCAATCCGGACCGATAGGTGCCTAATTCGCCAGAAGATTCAAGGCCCAATCTCCTTGCCCAACTTTCTTCTATGCACATTTACTTGACCCTCCATCTCGCCTCACTCATCTAATATTGTTGCCTTCATGCCCTCCTCGCTAGCACTTACCTCTTAGGTACCCCCACCCTGCCTCGGGACTCCAACATCCCCGCGTCTCACCCCATCGACCCCCGCCCGCAGGTCTCCGCGAACGCTCGAACCCTGCGGACGCCGCCCAGGCACCCCCCAGACCACCCTCCGCCGCGCCCCGCAGCCCGCCCCGCAGCAGCTCAGAATTCCGCAAGGGGGAGGGGGTGCCCTCAACCCACCAGACGAAGTCGTTGCTTTTGTCCTCGTAGGAGTTGATGAGCCCGTTGCAGAGCGGGGCGAGCAGAGGGCGCTTCCTGCTGCCGCTGCCCAGGCTGGAGCTGCTCCCTCCGACGCCGGCGCTGGGCCTGGCCGCGCAGCTGAGCCGGGACAGGCCCGCCGACACCGCCCCGCCGCCGCCGCCGCCGCCGCTGCCGCTGCCAGAAACGGCGGCCGCCACCAACACAGGCCGCGCCGGGCCCCCGAGGCCGCCCGAGCCCGCGGCCTGCGCCGCCCCGCCGGACCCCAGCGCCGCCGCCGAGGCCGCCACGGAAGGCGGCGACGGGGAGGAGGATAAGGACGAGGAGGCGGAAGTCACCGAGGAGGCCGCCGAGGAGCCAGGGCTGGTCCCGGCGGAGCCCGACCCGGCCTGGCGGCTCCCAGACATCGTGACTCCCTCCCCTCCGGCCGGGCGCTCGGAGGAGAGGGACCGCGACCGCCAGCCGCCGCCGCCTCCCCCGCCACAGCCTCAATGCATCCTGAGGAGGCGCGCCGCCGGGAGGTGGGGCTGAGGAACAATAAAGTTGATTTTTTTTTCAAGGCAACCACACAACAGCGTCCGACGGGAGGGGGCGGAGGAAACTAATAAAGCGGAGTAGAAACCACTACCGCTCCGACGCCGCCGCCGCCGCCGCGGCCCCTGCCGCAGCCAACCCGACGCGCCGTGGGCCGGCCGTGCGCGCGCGCGAGCGGCGGAAGGGGCGGGAGCGGCGCGGGATACAACTTCAGCCGCGGCCCGGGCGGCGCTCGGCCACGCACGACGCGCCCTCGGCGGCGGCGGCGGCCTAGCAACGACGGCCGCCCTCGCCGGGACCTGTTTTCGTTCGTGACGTACCAGGGGGCAGGCCGCCTTAATGGGTGAAAGGGCTGCGGAAGACGGATGAATGGTAGAGGTGGCGGAACGGTTTGGACGAAGGAGGCGGAGGTTGGGGAGCGCCCAGAAAGCGACTGCGCACGCGCGCCCTGGCGTCGACCCTCGCAGGTTACCCAGTGTCCCCCTTCAGGCGGAGAGGAGCGGCCGCGGCGCGGAGTGGCTGCACCAGGCATGCGCGGGGGCGAGCCGCATTCCTGAACGTGGAGAGGGAGCGGTCGCTGTCACCAGAGGGACCGGCAGTGTGACCAGTGGAGAGGGCGCGGCGCGGCGCGACAGGTGCTTGCGACTCGGGAATTGAAGGCTCGGTAAACTGGGACACACAGGAAGAACCTGGAAGCTGCGAGCAGTTGAAAAGAGCACTGGGCTGAGAGTCAAGGAGTCGCGCACTGCTTTTTAAGACATTGCACGTTCTTGTGAGGAATAAATGAAGTCAGTGAACAGTTCTTTGTGAATTGCAGACATTGTAGCAAATGTTACCGATTTATGGGTTCTACCTTGATCTCACTCTTGTATTTTGAAAATTTACTTACCAAGTTAAGTATAACAATAATGAGAAAAGTTAATGTAGAACAAGGCTCCGTCAGAACCTCGGTTTAATATGGATCTGATATAGTTCTAGCACAAAACAAGGAAACTTGGCAGTTAATACCGCTGCAAAATGTGCAATTTCTGGTAGGCTCTTTGGAATATTGAAAATTGATTACAGATTTATTTTCATTAGCCATTGTGAGAATCCCTAGGATTCTGGGGCGTGTAAATTAGAAACAACCGAACTGGGTGATTTTCGGTATCCTTTCCAACTATGTCATTTCTATGATTCTTAGAAGGAAGAATCCCAGATTTAATTCTGGCCTGAGTATTGAAGACTGTAGGGGCAACTAGGGCCTCTCCCTAGGAAGGGCTAGCCATGAGGGGCCGGGGCCAGCCCAGGGCCAAGACCTAGCCGCTCACCTGGGCAGTGAAAGGCCATAAGGCTGCCTTCTTCCTCACTTCCGCCTCGGCTGCTCACCCTTGTATTCCCAGCTCAGGTTTCTGCTCAGAATAATGACACAGGAATGGGCTTCTCAGATTTCCCAGAACCTCCCTCCTTGTGTGAATGTTACGTTGTCCAACCCCTTGTTCACATTCATTTTCAAGACCACACTGAAATGTGAAGCCTTACTGACTCGTTGGCAGAGATAGTTGCACCCTCATTTGTGCCCCTAGGATGTTTTATTTGCACTTATAACACTGTATTTTAGGAATTTATATGTGATTCTCCTCTACTAGTCTTTCAGCTCCCGCTTTGTAGTCCCAGCATGTAACAGTACCTGACCTGTGATAGGTGCTTATTAAATATCTCTTGACTGACAAATAAAGCAGTTGAGTGCATTTTTATTTTAATTATTTGCTTAAAGTCTATCTTTCCAAGTAAGTTGTAAGCTCCATGTATTGGTTCTCAGTGGGCATTCAATAATTTTTTGATGAAAGAATGCATAAATAATATTTATTGAACATTTACTACACATAGACTTGGACTAGACAAGGAAGAGGTAAGGAAGTTTAGAAAACGTTGCTCCCACATTCAGGAAGCTTACGGAATAATGGAAGAAGTAGAAAAATACATAAAAAGGTAAGTGATGTTACCAAGGAGGACATGCTGAATGCTTAATGAGTAAAGCGGAGAGTCACCATAGGAACTGAAGCAAGAGCAAGTGCTGAGGGCCAGCCTTGTTGGTGCAGAAAAAGGCCTTAAGTGAAAAGTATGGCTTGATCAATCAGAAAGTGTAATTAAAGTCATGAGCCCAGAAAACAAGTAGGTAAAAATGCTTGCATCAAGTTCAGATACCTGTTTGATAGGGGTAAAAGAGTTTATTCAGTCAGAATTCATTTGGGGGCCAGATTGTAAAGAGCCTTGAATCCACTTTGGGAGATAGCGTATATGCAGTTGGAAACAATGAAGGCATTATGTGGAGGTAAAATATATTCAAAGTGTTGTTTTAAAGATTAAGTTTTCAGCACATTAATCTTTCAGAAGAGGTGGGAGATTAGGAGCAAAGAGACTAATTAGGAAAAAATTATAGCAGTCCAGGCGTAAGTGATGAGATTCTAGATTAGGGTGCTGACAAGGAAAGTAAGGGAGTATTGTGAGAAAAATGCAAAAGAATCTATAGGATTAACTTTTGTTATTAGTGCTGTTGAGTGGATTCCAACTCCTAGCGACCCTGTGTACAGCAGAGTGGAACCCTGCCCCGTCTTTTTGCACCATCCTCTCACCTTCTAGCACTGTATCAGACAATGCTCTGCTGCTATTCATAGTTTTCAGGGCCAATTTTTTGGGAAGTGGGTGGCCAGGTTCTTCCTACTCTGTCTAGTCTGGAAACTCCAATGAAACCTGTCAACCATGGGTGACCCTGCTGCTATTTGAAATACCAAGATTAAACTACTCTTGGTACAAGAATCTTTATAGTCCTTGAGGGCATGACCCATGTCTGTCTTGTTCATCACCATCTTTCCCAGTGCTTAGCACAAAGGCCAATTTGTTAATTAAGTAAAAATGATGAAACACAAAGAGAAATGACTCCAAAGATAACTCCAGGAATAATAGCATGATGACAGAATTGGAGACGGCCAGTGGATGGTTTAGTTTTGGAAGGGTTGAGTGAGTGTGGGATGAAAATACATTCGAGTAAGCATATCCAGCACAGGAGAAAGTTCAACACATGAGAGAAATAGAACTGCATGTTTCTGAGCTCTTCCTCCAGAGATTCTGACTCTGGGCCTGGGCTAGGGCCTATGAATATGCATTCTTACCAGCACCTAGGTGAATTCGATGCAGGTGACTAACATTTGAGAAACACTGTGATGGACAGTGTAGGGAGTGTAAGAGAAATATGTAAAATAGTCTCTTCCTTCCAAGTAGCTTATTCAGGAGACAGAAAGTGATATGACCCCAGCTGAGAAGTCTCCTAAGAAAAAAATCATCAGAGTTTAGTATTACCTCTTTGGAACCTATCTTCAGTGAAATCTAAATTCACAAAAGGAAACTGAGCGGGTGTGATACGATGGAATTGCCCTTTTATACCAGATAAATGTATAAAGACTATTCTGAAAGTACACGATCCTTATTAGTTTTTTGCTTTTGTTTTTTTTTCCAGAAACAAAGGACTTTATTATTCATAGCAATAGTATTGGCTGGAGTATCATCATTTTCATGGGCCAGTTCACCAAGCCCCAATTCCCATGGGGCCACGAGGGCCAGATGCTCAGATTTCCCTCTAGGAGAGGAACCCTGAGCTTAGAAACACATAGATACAAAGAAGGATTGATGATTACCAGAGGGGAAGGGGGGAGAGGGAGGGTGAAAGGGCTAAAGGGGCACATGTGTAGGGTGATGGATGGCAACTAGACTTCTCAGTATCTACTGGCAAGATTCTCTGGGAAAGCAGAAGAGAAAAGAGGAAGCATGACAAAATGCACACAAAGGAAGTCAGACAGCTCAGGAGAAGTAGCAAATAGAACAGAAGAAAACGTTAATGAAAAATGAAAGTAAATGTAAAATGAACACTAAGCCCTAATAATTAAAAGAATCCCATCGTGTTGTTAAGTATATTAATCCTGTGAATGACAACAATGACAAGACAAAACCCAAAGTCGTCTACAAAACACTGCTACTAAAGTCAAGTCTAATGGAGTTAAGCTGGAATGGAATTACCAAGAGGATTGAATTTCCCAGACATGTCTAAGTTGTCTTATCCAAATATACTATTTTAGGGAAATAAGACTGCTGGCTTCCATCTCCAGCTAGCCTTGTCCTTTGGTAACCAATCTCCCAAAGAGATCCTCCCAAAAAAGCTTTCTCTGCCCAGCTCACCTGAAGGTTTGCTACCTGTTAGCCCTGTCTGCTGTCTAACCACATCTCCGAGTGAATAATAGCTTCCTGTTAATTTTTTTTTAATTTAATATGATTGCCCTTTAAAAAAAATGAGAGGTGAAATAAACATGGTATTAAAAAGCTAAATTGAGAAGAAAAAAGGAAAATTTTTATGTCAGTGTGAGAGGACAGAAAAGATATAGGAAAGTTTCTGTAACCCAATAGCATCATAATGTACCTAGCAGAAAATAATCCATAATCTACTGGTAAAATGAAAAGCTCCAATTTATATGTTAAAACCAGAGGTAGACAGTTACCTATAGACAACTATAATTTCTTAGAGTTATTATCTGAGGGCAGTCTCTTTTCTGAAAGTGCCTAGCACACTGTTTTCATTGCTAGAATTGCGTCATGAGCTTTCATTCCTCTCCGAGTCTTCCTATATAAAATTACAAGCGTTTTTGAGGAAAGGTAAACTAATAGCACCTAATACCTTGATAAGTCGGTCATCATATTAAAAGAAGTTAATTTCCTTTCTCAAAGCACTTTTGCAAGCTACTGCTGGCACTTTGGGTGTAGGCAGTTGTAAAATACGGCCTAGGCCAATGAGAAGTGTAACAATGAAGGATTATGTGTAGAGCTGTGTGAATGTGAATGCAAGTTACTGAATAGGGTCAGTCAGCTTAAAACAAAAAGAGCAACATTGGGAAAAAACAGCATTTACTCATTTTATATATGGTGAATGTGTACCTATTTTATGAATAGATGAATAGGTTTAGATCCACTTGAAGATCGTAAACCAAAACAAAATGAAGTCTAATGAATTCTCCAAAA